AACTAAATTGTTCTCCTCATCAAACATAAGTACATAACCCAAGCAAGTTAAATTTGAACAATTATACTACTTCAATACTTCGTATAAATTTAGGGAAAAAAAACCCTAGATTTTACAATAATTGATTCAAAGGGAAATTCAAATAGAATTCTACAAAACTAAACAGCATTAGATTGAATAACTCTATATAACACATAATATTCAGCAAAATATCATCGAAAAATCGATCGCAAACACAAAATTCGGAAAATAAACAAAACTCAAAGCAATTGAACACACACAAAGAATGTATTGAAATGTCATCCAATTGGAACAATCAAAACCGTAATTCAACATGAAAAAGTATACAAATGATAAAAAAAAATTAAGTCAAAAAAACATACAAAATATTGAAAAAAAAGAGCAAAATTGAACAACATTATGAAAAAAAATTCGAATAATACAGGAATTACGTGATTAAATTGCAAAACTTACAACAATTTGATGATAAATAATTCAATATCGCCGATTTGATCTTCATCTAAGTAAAGCCCCTGAGTCAAAATTTCAGAGAGAGAATGTGAGGGATTTGAACAATAAAAGAAATTTAAACAATAAGAAGGGTAGAATCGTAGGTTTTGCTCGAAATCCAAAGGGAGATGAAAGAGAATAGCTGCAATTGAGGGAAATTCATGGGTTTCTTCAGCAATGGTGATGAAGGAGGAGAGAGAAAATAACTTGCAAAATGAAGGAGGAGAGAGAAAACGCTGATTTTTTTTATTTATTTTTTTGAAATTATGTTTGACCGAGATAAATGGTAGCCATTGGATGCAATTTATCCAACGGTTGTAATATGTCCTCACATATACCAGGTTCTCACCATAAGGCATGTGGTCTCATATGATCCCATATATATATATATATAATATATATATTGTCTCGTGCAAACATATGATTGAAAGCCTTTTTCATTTTCGAAAGAAAAAGAAGAGGAATTGAAGCCTTTGAAACCCTTTTCATGATGGTAAGAAAAAGAAAGAAAAGAAAGAGCTAAAGAAAAGGAAATAGAAGCTTTTTCGTAAAACCAATAAGTGATCTTCGAAATTGCCATTTTCGCGATTTTGCAGATTCAAGAAAGAAGTCTGGAACCTCTGAGGTCCCTTCTTGCCATACGAGCTTTCGGAATCTTTTGCGGCGAAGAGGCTGGGCTGACTACCCAGCACGCGTCGTTCCTTACGATCCTATCGCTATAACACATGCGCTATTAAGACTTGCCGAGCAGTCATCCGATACGATTGATGGCTTACCCCTACAAGAAAAGGAGGCGGGCGTTCAACCCAAAAGGTTGGGGGGTTGCTAGAAACCTCAGTAGGGTTGGTGCTCCTAAGGGTTCGCATTTTTAACCAAACCATTCATCTAGGTTAAAGCAAACGCCTAGAGAGGTATCCATTACCTCGGCAAGGCGGTAGATCTTGATAGAGAACCGGGGGAGGAGTCTGCTGCGTAGGGGAAGATTCTCACGACTAGGAGGAAGATTGAGACCATGGAGTTAGAAGAAAGGAGCACCTGAATGTTTCGCAGGAGTAGCGTCCCCATCCTTGTGTTGTAAGCCTACGGCCCCCCCAATCATTCCTTTCCCTAAATGAGCAGGTGAACTTCTGCTTTAAAAAAATAGCAAAAAGGAACGCGACCCCCCAACCCCACGTGGGATAGTTTCCCAAGAAGGAAGTTCGCAAAAACAATAGCTCTGTAGGGTTGAAGAAACCGTAATCAGGGATTCTTGGGGCATGCAAGGTATGTAGGGATTCAAAAGTGGAGTAGAAATTCTTGGAAAAATGCAAAATCTAGGTCCCTAATTTGTTCAACAAAATGCTTGGCAGAGCTGCAAAAACAGCAATAAGATCCAAGGCTTAGTTGAGCAGCTTAATTAGGGGGAAAGCGGGTTATGGCACAAGAAGGCGGAGATTGATAAAAAAAAGGCCGAGTAGCTGTCGGTACTTCCTGGTCGGGAGTCGGTCCCACAGGTGGCCGATCATCGGTATGTGTGTGTGTGTGTGTGTGTGAGAGAGAGAGAGAGAGAGATAGAGAAGGGTGATTATGGTGAGAAGCGTGAGAATCTGAGATACATCAGACTAAAATTATAGGTACATCAAATTTAAATAAGAGATACATCAAATTTAAATTAGAGATACATCATGCTAACACTAAATTAATGATACATCAATCGTATATATATATATTGTAGAAACATTAAGAAAATTATAGTAAATACGTAACATAAATTTTATAAATACATCAAGAAATTGATATAGATACATCAAACTAAAATTTGAGGTAGCAACTTGCAAGTACATCAACAACTAAAAACAAATAGCAAAAACATTAAAATTAAAAAACAAATGATGAGTTGCTGACATAGTAGCAACTTGCAACAAGTATCCCAAATAACTACTCCAATTCTACACGATTAGGGAAGAAGAATCAAATACCATAGGCTGCATTCTTTTTGTTTTTGTATAAATAAAAAATGAATTTAATTAGCAACAAATCTGATGGGCTTCGTTGTATCCAATTTTCAACCTTTTTATTTGGTAACTTAACCAATCGGAGTTTTTCAGCGACAAATCGGCTTTATACCAGCGATCTTTGACGATGTTTGATTGAATTAGAGATGGTAGTTATATGAATGTGCATTTGCAATTTATTTTTCAATTTATTACGAGATTCATATTTTCGGCAAAAGATGGGGTTGTTTGCTGGTTATTATGAAACGAGAAGGTAGAAGAAAGGAGATGGATCGATCAAGTGAGGTGGTGAGGAATTTGGTTTCCAGGTGGTCAGAGAAGAAAGGGATAAAGGAGTATGGGGGCAATTTAATTGTCGTTGGTTTATCAGTGAGATATTGAAGAGCAATTTTTGTTCTTTGGTATGCATATAATGAAAAAAAAATCCCTTCAACAGTATCAAATTGGGAATTGAGGGGTAGGGATGGCAATGAGCAGGGTTTAGGTAAAGTCTAGTAATATTTAAACTCACACTCACACTCACACCTGAAATTTTTATCCATATTCATACCTTATCCGGACAGTTGGACCTCTTAAGTCTAAACTTTAAGACTCTTACCTGAGACTTAAGGGTCTAGCATGATCTAAGTTGGGTCAAATCTAGGTCCTTTACACAATGCAAAAAAAAAAAAAAAAAAATTGTTAGAGAAACAACTCGATTAACCAAAAGTGGTTCAGTTGATGGTTGAGGCACATGAAAATGTTTTTTTATTTTATCATGTCCCCTCACATGAGAGCCCGTTAGGCTTAATGTGAATACAACTTGGGCCACCCCATACTGAGCGCGAAATCATTTTCATTTGAAAGAAGGGGTGGAGTAGCTCTAGTTACTAGTTAGAGGACCAACTCAACTAAAGGATTAAACCGATAGTTAAGGCACAAGAAATAAGTTTTACTCTTGTGCAGGTATATCAGTATATGTATGTGAATTTTATGGATCCTTGGGTCGGTGTGGGTGTGAAAACTTTATACTCGGACAGTTGGACCCTTACCTTACCTAATGCCACCTAGTCCCATACCCTACCCAAACTAATATGGTCTAGAAATAAGACTCGTGGATGTATTATATAGGAAGGTCCAGTAGGGTTTACGTAGGGTCCTAGACCCATTGTCATCCCTGGTGGTAAGGAGGGACTCATCTTTGTACCACAAGATTGGGAGAGGTAAACAAATGGGGGTAATGGATACCCTTTAAAATGGAGTGTTTAACCACACGTCTCACACTTAATATTCAATAGGAATTGAAAATGATAATGAAAATGGTTAATTGATTCCAATACCATCACTCAAGAATACAATAATTTTTTTGGTATTAACTGAGTGCCAACTACGAGCATGTTTGATAATATATTCTTATTGGTTGGAAATGAATTTCGTCAAACCATTGTCGTTATCAAGTGTTTGAGTGGGTAACAATAACCATTATTTAGGGGTAATGATTTCTAACTATTTGTTACCTCTCTAAAATCTAAGGTAACCTTATGATTACCATCCTCAAACCAAAATATGTGTAAAATTCAAGTAATTCTTTTCCTTGATTAAACTAAACAACTGAAAATACTACCACCATTAACAGTTATTTGCAACAAAGGAGGGTAGCACAAACTCCCAAGCAAAACTTTTAAGGGGTGTTTAAGTGAGAATAATTGAAAGAAAGGGCATGTGATTAATTCATTAAAAAGGAGGGAAAGGGGGACCCGAATTTTAAAAGAGGAGAGAGAATATGAATATTAGTGGGTTTTTGCTTTCCTTTCTAATATTTCACCAACTTTTAATTAAAAGTTTATACCTTTTTTCATATCAAAATTTTCCCTCCATTTGAATTTTCATTCAAGGTAGGGTATATAAACCTGTGACCAGAATTCATAGTTCAAAATATTCATACAAACCAAATGTTCTACCCTAACCAAATTACAGCATGTTTTCCTCACAAACGTTAGCACTAATTTTCAGCTTAAACTTATTCTCCAAAACTACCTTCCTACAACTAATTAGTGCGAGTTTAAAAGTAGCATCCATCATTTTGTAATCTACAGTCTGGTTCAACTTGAGTACTTCAAAAAAAAAAAAAAAAAAAAAACAACCCCCACTTTATCACCATTACTCAAATTTGTAAGGAAAAAAACTTCAGAAATTAAAATGGTAGAATTTTTCGATGAGGAATTTTTTGGCATAGATCAGTTGCTAAATGATAAAGATTATATGGAAGACAGTGATTCAAGCAGCATGGAAGAAGGTGACAACATTCATCAAAATGTGTTACATGAAGATGCATTGCAACAACCTAAAGGTAGAGAACAACTTGCTGCTATATAAAAAAAAGAGATTGTTGATACAACTCTAGTCAAAATGGATGGTCTGGATCTGCCAAGAGGTTTTTTTTTGTCACAGTAAGCAAGAAAATTTAATGTTCATAGGTCATCAATAAAAAGATTATTCAAAGACATAAAGAGACAAATGGCTGATGGGAATGCGATTGATGTCAGAAGCAAGAAGCTTGGCAAAACTAGACCCAAACCAACAGAGTATACAGAAGAGTTCCTGCAGTCAGTCCCTTTGTAGAAAAGGACAACAGAGAGAAACAATGGTGATGCTCTTAATATTTCACATGTGACAATTCACAAGTTAAAGAAAAAAGGGAGGCTGAGAACACATACAAGCACCAACCACCCAGCCCTGACATCTAACCATAAGATAGTAAGACTAAAATGGGTTTTAAGTCATCTTCTGCCTATTGAACATAATGTAAACCCAAAGTTTGAGGATATGCAGCAAGTAATACGCATTGCTCAAAAGTGGTTCTACTTGAACCCAGAAACAAGGAGGTTCTATCTGCTGTCAAATGAACCAATTCCATATAGGTGCCAACAGTCAGAAAGATTCAAGGTAAAAGGAATGTTCATGGCAATGATTAGGAAACCAATTTTTGACACCCATGGACATGTGCTACATGATGGAAAATATGGAATCTTTCCATTTGTTTATGAGAACATTACTAAGAAAAAAAGCACAAACAAAGAAGCTGGAGCAGTGGAAATTAAGACAGCTCAAAAAGTAAACAAGGAGGCAATTAGAGCAATGCTACTCAACAAAGTAATACCAGCAATACAAAGTAAATGGCCTCCTCATATGTCTGATGACATATTTATTCAATGGGACAATGTTAGACCTCATCAAATTCTAAAGGATGAGGAATTCATTACTGCATGTCAATTAAATGGGTTCAACATTCAACTCATTTACCAACCAGCACAGTCACCTGACTTGAATGTGCTAGATCTTGGCTTGTTCAATGTGATTCAGTCTATACAGTACCAATCATTCCCTAAGAACTTGGGGGGACTCATAGACAAAGTCACAGAGGCTTATGACTTGTTTAATCCAATACTAAACAAGTACAGTTGGATAACAATACAAAGTTGCATGATAGAAATACTAAGTCATCTAGGTGGGAATAATTTTACCCCACCACACAAAGGGAAGAAAAGGCTGGAAAGGCTTGAATTGCTGCCAGAACAACAGGAGGTGCACAGGGATTTGGTTCAACAAGTTGTTGAATATCTCAACACTTTATTCATACCAACAGGGGAAGGAAATGAAGTGGATGAAGACATGCAAGTGGATGCAGACGAAAGATAACAGAGAAAGATAAGGAAGGTGATAGTGGGACTACCACACATAACCAATGAAGAGGATGAAAACCAATGGTAAAATAGTAGGCAGTCTTTTGTGTTTTTGGTTTTACCATTGTTTGAAATTAATTGGTTATGTGTATTTTGCTCAAATTCAGATCAAATATTGTAAGGCAGTATTAACTAGCTTCTTGTAACTAACTTACAACTGAAGTTTTTGGAGCAATTCCAACTAATCAATTTAGTGTCAAATGAGTCCCTTCATCATTTGGATTTTTCAAACATACACACATTATAACTCACATCTCATGTAGGGACACACATCTCATTAAGGGACTCAAATTACAGTAGGCACCAACAACTGACTAAGAGGACAAGCCTAGCCATATGTCATGTTATTCTCTCTTACTATAGTCATTGAGAACATAACAGACAAGGGTTATCATCACTCATCATGTCACAATTCCCATAGCCACTATATGCCAGAAATGAACAACAGAAGCCACAAATGAACAACTAGAAGCCACAAATGAACAATCTCAAGCCACAAATGAACAACCAGAAGCCAAAATTTATCAACCTTAAGCCACAAATTTACAATCAGAAGCCACAATTTATCAACATCAACCCACAAGTAAACAACCAGAAGCCACAATTTATCAGCCTCAAGCCACAAATTAACAATCAAAAGCCACAATTATCAACATCAAACCACAAATAAACAACCGGAAGCCACAATTTATCAAACTCAAGCCACAAATTAACAACAAGAACCGATAATTTATCAGCATCAAGCCACAAATAAACAACTAGAAGCCACAATGTAACAACCAAAAGCCACAAATTATCAATCAGGACCACTGGACATCAACCATAACCATCAATTAACAACCATTACCCACAAATTAACAACCATAGGCAGAAATTATCAACTATATGCCACCAGTTTAACAAAACAACAGAAATTCATACATAATTATCATAATCAACAAACAGATTAGGGACTCAGGGTAAATGTAAACAATCTAATGGAATAGTTTAGGGTCAGAAGGGAGTTACGTTGCGAAATTAGTTAGAGCAAGTGATGGAAGGGTTGTCAACCCCCTCAACACAACATTTTTGTCAACAAGGGACCCAGATCTAACCCTTTTCTTTCTAGACAGAGGAGTGTCGGACTCAACAGCCTCCTGGCAAGGATTTTGTTTTCAACAGCCGTAAAAGGCTCATCAGCAACCTAGGTCTTCACAGCATGAGCATTTTCTATAGATCCCTCACCATTTTTACCTAGATCTAAAACGTTAGACCCCTCACCTTGTTCACTGGAGTCGTCAACAGCAAGCTTCGCACCCACACCATACATACAGCGCATATCTAGGTATGTTGCCCTATACGTATGGACGAGCTTCATTTTCCCAGTACGACGTTGGCACCTATATGTCGCGTAAAAGCCCAGATCTGGTTTATTCTCGTTTGGGGAACTCATTTTTTGTTGTTTTTCAAAGAAGGAAGTAGATCCATAGAGAGAAAAGGTGGAAAATCTGGTGAAATTAGGGTTTCAACAAGGAGGAGAGAGAGTGAAGTATACGGACGAGCTTCATTTTCCCAGTACAACGTTGGCACCTATATGTCACGTAAAAGCCCAGATTTGGTTTATTCTTGTTTGGGGAACTCATTTTTGGTTGTTTTTCAAAGAAGGAAGTAGATCCATAGAGAGAAAAGGTGGAAGATCTGGTGAAATTAGGGTTTCAACAAGGAGGAGAGAGAGTGAAGTATAGTATAGCGAAAAAGGAGAAGAAAGAGGGTGTTGAAATCTGGAACCATCTCCAGTTTTAAAGCCTTCACTGGCCTTATTAATGGGAGTGGTTGAAGGTTGCATTGATGAAGGTTGTAGAGAAGATGAATGAGGAACCGGTGAGATAAAGAAAATGAGATCCAGATCTTAATTTTTGGTGGGAATCATTAGATTAGTTTTGTAGATAAGAGGAATAATAAATTAGGATTGCAAAGTAAGTTAGCAATTAATCAATTTTTAATAAGGGCATCTTTGTAATTTGGTCACATAAAAAGTTACTAAAAAAGGGAAAAAAAAAGTTTGTTGCAAATAATAGTTAGTACCCTTTTTTGGTAAATGTTGCAAATAACTGTTGACGGAGGTAGTATTAGAATTAACAAACGGGTTAACAATTTTATGTAACAAACGGGTACCTGATTAGTGATTACGAACACCCTTGAGTCCTTGACCGGCCAAATGTAGGGGTGAGCATGGGTCGAGTACTCGTACCGTTAACACTATCAGTTCAGGTACCCGATAACCAATAACACTAAAAATGATATCCATTAACCGAACCGATAAGTTCGGATACCCGAATTTTCGGATCGGTTATCGAGTACCCAACATGATATTCAATTAAAAAAAATTTAAACTTTATAATATAGTTATTATTATGATATCATTCAACAATAATTAACAATGATACCACATGATCATGATTAAATTACTAATAATATTAATAATTATTTAAATTATGAAGTGATTATGAAGTAAAGTAGGAGTTTAGATTTTGGATAAATAGATTTAAGTAGGAAAAAAAAATTGCTTATCGGATCGGATCGGGTAACCATTAATTTTAAAATGATACCCAATAACCGTACCGGATAACAAATTATCGGATCGGATACCTGAACCGTTATGATTATCGAAACGGACACTTAATTTTCGATTCGGTTACGGTTCAAATTTTCGGTTTTTGAATAATTTTGCTCAGCCCTAGCCAAATGCCAACTACTTCTCAAGTTCTCATCACTAATCATCAAACTGCCCGCCAAAAGAAAAAAAAATCGAAATCTTTTTAATAGTTTATGCTTCTTCTTGCGACTACCGTTCAACTCCTCCCTTCTCATCTCCGGCGCAGTTGTGCTTCAATGACCAGACCTCAACGATCAAAGCATCGGATTAATTCTAATTCCGACGAAAACCCATCTCAATCAAAAGTCAACTTTCGCGCTTCCAAGTCAAAATTTAAATTGAAAACCCAATTATCTCCAGAACGTCCAATTTCAAACAATTCTCATATTAATTACCAGAATTTGGCAATTTTAGGGCCCGATTTTTGCTCCATTGATGCTCTTGATCTTGCTCCACTTCTTCTTGGCAAGTTTCTTCGTCGTGACGATGTTATACTTCAGATAACTGAGGTGAGATTTCATTTGCTATTGATTAAGCACACCAACTGTTCGACGAATTTACTCAACGAAATGGAAACTTGCTACAGTACTACTTTTCTTGCTTTGTTAAACTGTGAAAAATGTCATTGAATTCAGTTTCAGGGGTCATAAAATCATGATCGGGGTGGGTGTTCTCTCTGTATTATCTATTTGGTTTGTGGGTTAGTTTAAGACCTGATTTCTGGAGACGGTTGTGTCTAGGTTTTCAGGAAATTCATGGGTGGTAAACTTTTGCAGGTGGAAGCGTATAGGCCAAATGATTCAGCATGTCATGGTCGCTTCGGCGTTACAGCTAGAACAGCTCCTGTTGTAAGATAAGAATGTTGATTAGTTATTTTGTCTCAGCAACTTAAAATCTTATACCTTTTTAATAAAGTATGAATCTTGTTTGTTTGTCCTGTGCAATTTGGGTAGTTTGGACCAGGTGGGCATGCTTATGTGTATCTCTGCTATGGTCTTCACATGATGCTTAATATTGTTGCTGATAAGGAGGGTGTTGGGGCTGCTGTGTTGATACGTTCTTGTGCTCCTGTTAGCGGTAATTGCCCGTCAGAGTTACATCATTGGGTTGTTAGCATGATGCTATGCAAGTTTAGTTATGTGATGTTATGTTGTATGAAAATATGTTATGTGGTTGGTTGAATGTATTGGTCTTTCAAATCTGGCTTATTCTATCAATTTTTACTTTTTCGTTGGTTGATGCATGTATGATACTCATCCCTTGTACAAGACAACAATAATGATTTATTTATAATGAAGAAGAGCATTCCATAATTTTCTATTGGATATAGGTGAAGGAGAGGTGACGAGACTAAAATCCTTAATTAGTAGATGGAGAGTTTTGATTATGTGGCTTAATGTTGCAGGTTTGACAACCATTCAGCAGCGTCGTGGTCAGATTACTAATAAGCCTGTTCTTCTTGCTGGGCCAGGAAAGGTCAGCACTCAGCAGTCAATCTTTACAGTCCCTATATTTAATAATTTGGGTATAAGTAAATGCTTGATAATGTCATTTGTTGGTTTTGACATTTGATGTCAAAAAGGGTATCTTTTAATCTTTTCAAATGTTAGCAATCACATTGTACGATTTCAAAGACCAAAAAAACAATCACTGTAATATTCTAATTCTATTCTTGCAAAGCTTTATTCCTCATCGACTTAAAAAAAGAAGATTAAAAGTTGTTCTATATCTGTTTTAAGTTTTCTGGTCGGGAAATTAAAGGAAGGGATACCAGTAAGACATCCATATGTTTTGAAATTTTGTAATTTTAGGTCTGCAAATTTTACCACCTACTTATTCAAATGATTGCTCAAAATTAATGGTATACACATTTTGTATTCTGCTTATATAATAACTATGAGGTCTTTATATCCCTTGAAACAGAGAAAGTTTTTTCTGATTACTTCACGGGCATGCATCTCCTATATTTTCCCTTCATTTCATTTTGTTGTAGCTCATGGACCTTTGTGAATTCCTATGTTCTATCCATATTTGTATCATTGATCAGCAAATACCTTAAGATATACATTGCATTAAAGCATCACATAGGGTCCTCTTTATATGCATACAACACCTCAAACACAATTCTTCAACAAAGAATGAGGGGAAACTGATTTTGGCACAACTTTTATTGATATTGGGCTCACCTCTATGTGACAAGAGCATATAAAATTGTGCTCTCACAATGGGTGTGCCAAATCATTTCCCACAATGAGGAGGACCATGAACAATATAATACTGTGTAATATAAATCCGTGCCTTGTCGCAGGCCATAATACTTGAATTATGGTATGTCCCATGTGGCCTAGTTCTCTTTTTCATCCACATCATCAGACACTAAATGATATACTACTATCAGACACTAAATGCATGCACCACTGACTGTTGTGTACTTAGCACAGTCAGCAGTCAGTTCTTCTCTCATTTTCAGTTCTAGAATTTGCATTGCTCTGATTTTTGTACAACTATACACTGCTGCATTGCCAAACTTCCTCATTGGAAATCCTATTAAAAAAAAAAAAACTAATAGGAAAACTGATACCTTCTGTAGTTCTCTTTGATTTATTAAACTCACCAATGTTGTGCTCTTGAAGTGTCCTAAGAGGCATTCTGGGAAAATAGTACAAAATTACCAATAGGTCTTGAACTTTTTGTTAGCAAAGAACATCATTGTTGTTTGGCCCTCCTTGTTTGCATTGAATCACTGGTGAAACGATCATTCAACAGTGATAATGTGCAATGTACTCTATGCATATGATGTCTAGTCTGATCTCAGGGCGACTATTTGTAACTGCAACCAGGGCTGTTATATACTCTTGCCTAAGTTACTAACTTGCTAGTTGAGGGAGGAGGGAATCTGTGCCTTTTCCTCACTACCAAGATTGACAGATTTTACTAAAGGAATGTTAACCTTGGCGTACTTGAATCAATTTCTTGAAGATTATCATTATTGCTGTCACTATGCTAGTCCTTTGATAAAACAAAAGCGGACCATGACTTTGACTCTTTGAGTGAGATAAACAGAAGTATAAAACATCCTTTGGTTAGATAAGCAGTATTTTTTTGCTATGTATAGGTCCTCATTACTAGCAATACTGGGCAATCAATTATTGAATAACTAATCCAATTGCACTTCTCAACTTAACACTTATAAATAATGTTCTTAACAGGTTGGACAAGCACTTGGATTATCAACCGAGTGGTCAAATCATCCCCTTTATGTACCTGGTAAGAATATTGTAAGATACCTTGTCCTTTGTCGTGTTTGATATTCTAAATTCTGCATAATCAGGCTGAAATAAGATGATTTTTCAATGATATATGCAGGCGGTTTAGAGCTTCTGGACGGGCCAAAGCCTGAAAAGATAGTAGTTGGTCCTCGTGTTGGCATTAATTATGCTTTGCCTGAGCATGTAAATGCATTGTGGAGATTCGCTGTCGCAGGTAGTCCATGGATTAGTGCTCCAAAGAACACACTTAGGCATCCTTGACAGGAAAATAATTCTTATGGCCCCTTCTGATCACATCAATGTATGTTGAGAGGACAAAAATAAGCTTACACATTCTGCTGTTAACCAACTAGGAAAGCACTTTTTGCCCTCCCTTCTGAGGGAGGAGGAAGTAATGTAGTGTTTTTATGTGTTTGTTGGTACATACATGATAAATTCGTAAATATTAAAAATTAATATTGGTACCATTAAGATGTGAAATGTACCATTGATAGTGGAATAGTAATATCAATGGAATGGTACTAAAAATTGTTACAATGGTATATTTTTGAAGCTAATATGTGTACCACTAGATTGTAAAATTGTGTCATTGGTAGTGTAATGGTATACTGTATAATAATTGGTTGTAATGGTACTAAAATGACTACAGTAGTACAATTAAAACTTGAAAATTAAAGTAATAATATACTGTCTCATCACCTTTATTGTTATGCTAAGTTATTAATATGCCTTTGTTATGTACCAACAGATGCATAGCAATACTCCCTTTAAAACTCCTTCTAAGGTGCCTTATTTTTTTTGGTAAGAATGACCATATTGAACCAACACATCTCACAGATAGTCCATCTACGCAGACCATCCCTTGAGAGTAGGGGTACTATTTGTCCTCCTTTCTGAGGTGCTTATTAGTCCCTATACCCAAGTTGATGTGTTGGTTAGTTGATCCACTTTTAAAGTGGAAACTTAATATCTATATAACACTTTTCACATTGTAACCCGTAAAGTACATTTAGTTTTCATACAGTAACTTTGTCGTTATTAACACATATATACATCTAGTAAACTAGTACCACTCGTACATCTAGTAAACTAGTACCGCTCGTCAATATCTTTCGATAATGTTTAATCATGTCGTCACAATTCTCACACCCTCCATTTTTCTAGATATACAATTGATTGGCAAAGGGTTTTAGTGCGTATCATATCCGCTTGTGGATAGCGCATATCAAACGGCGATCAACATCGAGAGACTTCGAGCTAGAGATGGAAAGCCGAAGGAGAATGTTATGACTTTTAAGGTTGATTCGCATGTGAAATCGGGTAACGGAGAGAAGACCTTTTGTACTCATTGCAATTGGATCGGTCATGAAAATAAGGGTTGTTATCAATTGATCAGCTTTCCCGACGGATGGGATGAAAATAGGAAAGGCGGAAGAGGAAAAGGTAGAGGAGGCTCTAGCTCTCGTGGAGGAAGAGGGGGCCGTAGTACAAGTGGGGGGGGGGGGAGAGAGGAAATTATTCCACAAACTCCACACACCGAGCAAATGCTCTACAAGGAGGAGTTAACAACAATAGGGCAATAGTTCGTCTTCCCAAGGAACGTCTACACAAGGTCTTACGGGTGTTACTTTAGATCAAGCACAACAACTCATAGATTTCCTTGCTAAAAAATCTAAGTCTCAATTAGAAGGTAATGCAAGATTGTGGATTGTGGATACCGTACCATCTAATCATGTTACTAATGATATTTCGATTATGAAAAATGTAAATTAAAGACAATTGTAAATTAAAGACAATACAAAATTGTCCGATAGGGATTATCGGATGGTTAAACGGTGAATGCAAATCAATTGAGTTCGGTTACACTAGAGGGTGGCTTGATGATCGATAATGTGATGTTTGTACCTCATTTAAATTGCAATTTAATTTCTGTCACACAACTTAGTGATGAATTGAGTTGTACTATACAATTTACAAACAAAATTTGTGTTATTTAGGACTAGTTGATGAGGACGATGATTGGAGTGGGTAAACGCCAAGGTGGACTTTATTTTTTCCAAGTTGTACCGCAAGTGAAGGTTCTAGCAGTGAATTGTGTGGTGGATTTTTGGCATCAACGCATTGGTCATCCGTCGGAGAAAGTTCTAAAGTTACTTGTGCCTATGAGTAACTCTATTTTAGGAAGAATAATCATATTTGTGATGCATGCCCTCGTGTAAAACAATCTAGAAATCGTTTTCCTATTATTGAGAATAAAGCTAGTAGCTTGTTTGATTTGGTTCATATTGATTTGTGGGGTCCCTGCAAGACGCCTTTATCTTGTGGAGCAAAATTGTTTTTGACAAAAGTAGATGATTTTTCTAGGGGTGTTTGGATTTATTTGATTAGCTATAAAACTGAAGTTGAATTTACTTTTCTTAATTTTATTGCCTTGAACAAGCGTCAGTTAGATAATGGTATTGATTTAAATAATTTACGAGAATATTTTGTGAAAAATGGAATTATTTTTTAGTCTACTTGTGTTGGAACCCCGCAACAAAATGGGAGAGTTGAAAGAAAGCATCAGCATATCTTGAATGTTGCTCGGGCATTGAGATTTCAGGGAAAATTGCCTATCAAATTTTGGGGGGAGTGTGCTTTGACGTGCGTGTAATTTGATTAATCGGACTCTGAGCTCTCTTCTTAAAGGAAAAACACCATATGAGATTTTGTTTGGGAAATCCCCGTCTTATGAGTTTATTCGTGTTTTGGGTTTGTGTTAAGCTCATAATCAACGAAGTCAGGGTGATAAATTTGAGTCTTGAAGTTGAAAGTGTGTATTTCTTGGCTATCCATTTGGCAAGAAAGAGTGGCAATTGTTTGATGTAGAAACCCGAGAATAGTTTGTATCTCGTGATGTTAAATGAGCATGTTTTTTCATTTGAGGAGTCACTAGATTTGGAGCGTGAATCTTCTTTCGCTAATGAAAATTTTGATTTGAGCAATAAGATGATTTCGTCATATGGCATAAGGGTGAAGTTGAGCTTGGGTATAGTGAGTTGAGTGACGAAGAGGTTTGAGGAGTTGAGATTATTTTGTCAATATCTCAATTAACCCTATGAATCTCTCACGTTGCGTTGATACTAATAACATCAACAATATCTCAATTAACCCTATGAATGCATTATGATGATTATAGTGGGGTAATGATGAGAATAATTATATAGTGATTTATGATGAGGAACCTTACGATGATTATTGTGAGGGTATTGATGAAGAAAATTATAATAATGCGTATTATGCTCCATAACATTTCGGTGATTATAGTGAGGGTTTGATGAGAAAAATTATAATAATACTGATTATGATGAAGAATATTACGGTGATTATAATGAGGGTGGTGATGTTATTACCGAGCAGGAGAAAATTGGCTGTGAATCGGAGTCGGATTTTAAGAAATGGTATACTATTTATCTGTTATCTTATAAAGAGAAAACATATTTAGAGGTCATATATAGTTGCTAAATGCAATACTTACTTACTCAACACACCCTCCTATAAAACCTAAAATACCCTTCACACCTAACCGCAAGATATTGAAACTAATTTCAAGTCATTCAAATCGAACCTCAAGATATTGAAACTAATTTTCAATCAAACACAACTCTAAGGAATTAGAATTAACAACGATTTGCAAATCGAAAGATAATTAATCCCGAGTTCGTGAGTATTTAATTTGTCATTTTTTTTATTTTTTATTTTATTTATTTATTTATTTATTCTTGAAAAAATTGTCATTAATAATACAACCTTTAGGCCATTCTTTTTAAATAATACAATCTTAGGATTATATCTAAATATTACAACCTTTGGAGGATCTCAATTTTAAACTAGACAAAAAACTTGTAACCTGCTAAATCGGTTACCCATGACACGTGTCGTCATGTAATAAGTCTAAATATTAAATTTTGATTTTCTTAAAATAAACAACCCCGCCAGCCATGGTGATCAGCCCACCTCCCCCTACCCCAATCCTACACACACGTACATCTCCGACGGCCCGATCTCCGACCACCCAACTGACCGACTAATTCCGACCGTACCCTTCCCTAATCCCTTCTAAACCCCTTTTGAAGGGGTTTCGATAATGGAAGGAGGAGCTAGAATCGGTGGTCGAGAAGGGGAGTAATCGGGGTTTCTGTGGTCAATCGAGGCTGCAGTTGTGGAATCGGTGGTCGAAAAGGTGAAGAATCGACGTGTGTGGGAGTTTTTGGTGGTGGGGGTTAGCAGCGGTGGTCGGGAAAGGGAGTTTCGGCGATGTGGTGGGGTGGAGAGTTTCGGCGTGACGGCGTGGTGGTGGAGGTTGGCAGCGGTGGCTGGGAAGGGGAGGCGGCGGTTCTGGTGGTGGGGATGGGGACTGGAGTGGTGCAGTGGTGGTGGGATGGGTGGAGCAGTGGTGGTGTTTGGGGAAAGGAGAAAGAAGAAAAAAAATTAAAAAAATTATTTAAGCCAATCATATGGCGACACGTGGCATTGGTAACTTGTTTATCAGGTTGCATCCGGTTTTGCCTTGTTTAAAATTAAGACCCCCTAAAAGTTGTAATATTCATGTATAATCCAAAGGTTGTATTATTTTAAAAAACTGGCCTAAAGATTGTATTATTAATTTCATTTTTTTTTTCTTCTCTGTACACTTACATCAATTTGATATAGTATAGTTTCAAAATTAATTTGTTTGTCTCGAATTTCAACTCTCAATTTTTACTCCATGAAAAAGAAGAGTGTTTTCCCTCGATACAGCTTCAATTATCAATAATTCAATAACTACAACTCCTCTTTCATAGTTTCCCAATCTACTGTCCACGTCACCCTCTTAGTATAAAATCACTTTTTTTAAACGGTTCAGTACATAACCGCTATTTGAGTTAGCGGTTTTCAATTAGGGAAAACCGCTAACTCAAGTCGTGATGTTAATTGGTAAATCGCCAATAGAAATAGCGATTTTAAGGAAAACCGCTAATTGAGTTGGCAGTTTTCCAATTTATGTAAAAAAACAAATTAAAATAAAATACTAGAAAATGAAGAGTACTACGGATTATAATCAATTTTCTCCCAAAATAAATCAACTGTAATCGGATGAATTTAAAAGAAAAACATAATGAATTCGAGTAGAGTATACTCCAAATCAAAGTAAAACAAAAATAAAGAATAGAAAACAAAATCAAATTAATTTGGACAATTACAATAATTGGAAGTAGGGCATATACTAGTATACTATGTGAAGACACCTGATTGTGTCTTCCCAAAAACCAAACCCAGTGATGAGTACCTTTCAGGTTCTGATTTACGAGTTCGGTAAAGAGTTAAAGAGTCTCGTAAAGTTCCCTTAAGCCTTGACCATATTTATAACCTTTCTTAAAAATTTTAATCCAAAATCATTTATTTCGTGTCTTTAAACCCAAACAAATTCATTTTGTGTCCTTAAAATCATTCATTTCGTGGCCAACTTATAAAAATGACCAAACTAGATTATTTTGGTCCATAATCCCAGTACAATTATTGCTTAGTTGGATGGGGCCTGAAAAGTGTTTTCCAACGATGTATTATAAGCCCAAATTCCACTTAAAATGAATAAGTTATGGCCAAAATACTAAACCGAGCCCAAACTGAGCCTAGGTTCACCTTACCTACGACCCAATGATCA